AAAAAACAAATATGCTTCAATTTACATGACTAAAGTACAAGAGCATTTTGTTTGACTGATCTAATGATTAATACTACACATCTATTAACAAACAATATTTGAAAGAATTATAGGTACTTACTACTTTGAGATGTAGGTACTGCTTTGAATTTGCCCTTCCTCATTATTTCTGTGGAGTAACATATGTAAGATGTTCCTAGCTATCAAGTTCCCTTCCCGAGAGGCAAAATAACTAAATATAGTCAAGACTTCTTGTGTATTCTTCCTAAAATAGTCTGTGAATTTACTAGCAAATATTTGTGTTTTTCCTATCCTTATGCAATTAATAGTATGCGATAGTCAAAGTTCTATATCTTGTTTTTGTTTTTTTTTTAAGTATTTATTTATTTATGCATACAGAATTGGGGTACAGGCCAGAAGTGCTGGAGCAGTGAGAGGATTCACCAGAGACAGAGTGGGGAGAAGAACAGGCAGATGGACAAAGTACACTGCTGAGGGGAGCAGCAGGTGGATCAGGAGAGGTCTGCCGCGCCATGTGGATCACCTCCCTGACGGGGATGGAACCCATACTGAAGTGGCTGCGCTAAGCTTAACAGCGCTGCACCTTAACCCACTATGCCACCAAGAAGGACCCTGTTTTTGTTTTATAATTTTGTTTTTCTTTACTCAATTTATTTTAAAATTTACTCAACTTACTGCCTTTACTTATCAGCAATATATTAATTTATTTAAATAAATTACTTAGACCGTCTGTTTAAGTAGCAGAATGCTTTCTGCTATTACAATATTGTAATGAATAACTTTGCTTTTTAGTATGTGATACTATTTTTAATTTTAAAAATTAACGTATTTTAATTTAGGTAGTATTTAGATATCCCTATCAAATATTGCAGCCATAGTGCGCCCACCTCCAAAGCAAACATAATCCACCATCATAGTACACTGTGCTTCCTGCCCTCTCTGTTCTTGTGGCGATAGACCTCAGAGGCAGAACATCTGACTGCAGTTAGTAACTCTGTACATGTCATTTTACATACACACAAGTGTATCTTTGAGATGAGCTTCTAGATATGTGTTTGGATCTTACAGCAATAAACAACATTCTTCATTTTCACCCAGCTTCTGAGTTAATAGAAATAGGACCAAAAAAATTAGGCAGACAAGTGATCAAAACATGACCTTTGCAACTGATAAATGATGATGTTGGAAAATGTGACTTACATTTGCAGATAAGAGGGCTTCACAGTTCTGGATATTTTCCCATTTAATCAGGCAATGTTGGTCAACTCTAGGTCAACTCTCCATACAGGTTTTAGGGAAGGGAGGGGCTGAGTTTTCTTTTAAATATTTAATAATCAGAAAAATAATTCTTCCCTCTTTAGGGAGAAGGTAGAGGCCTGGGTTACTGAGTTAGTCAAATTACTTCCTCCTGGAAGGAATTTCAGGAGAAGGAAAGGAGTAATCTTAGCTTACCAAAATACTATTATGGCTCAAAGGAATTTTTTTGTTTACAACTTTGATAAATTTGTTCTCCTTGCTTTCAAAAGTATATAATTCACTCTTCTTCAAGGTGAGCATGAATATAGATTCAGACACATATGGTAATGTAATGTTAGATAAAGACTTCTCAGTTATCTGCCTACTCATGTCTCAATTCCTCTGAAGTCTTCTTTAATACCCTCTATATTTTGAAATATAACACCCTGTAATTTTAATCATAGCAGTTCACATCATTTTAGTATCTGACAGGGATTGTCAAAGGCCACAGAATACACCAAAGCCCTCTTCCTGTTTGTTGTAAGAACCTGAGCTTTCCCCGGGCCTTAAGAGCCATGTTTATCAGACTAGAATAGCACCACACACTGTTGTGAGGACCTTGACTTCCACTCTGAATGAAATGGCCAGTCATTGCAGGGTTTGAACAGAAAAGTGAATGATGCATGTATTTAAGAACCTGGTAAAATGCAAGGTTTTCTCTAACCAAAGAACTGATAATCCTTCACGACCAGAATAAAAGTGCTCCATAAGCCAAGGACTGCACAACTGGATAGTTAACCCTCTTTTCCCTCATCTTAAATTCTTCTAAATATTTTATTTTTACAGGCAGCCAAGGGGGAAAAAAAAGCAGATGGAAGCTCCAACAGGCTGTGTTTCCAAGAACTTCAACAATTATGAAGAACAAATTACTCTAAAACAAAAGGAAAGAGCCGATAGAAAGTTTCTGATCCTGAATTTATGAGACAGGATGCTGTGCTACTTGCAACGATATTTTTGCAGATTTTTTTTTTCCCCATAAAACTTTGAGCTTCCTCACTAGGAATAAAAAGACTTCAAAGCTTCAGCAATGACCAAGAATATCTTTATTTATAATTTATGGAATAAAAACATAGACTTTCACAGAAGGCGGATGCCGTTAAAAGATGCCCGATTAAAGCTATTTTTCAAAAGAGATATGCAAGATAAAAATCTCAAATAGAACTACAAAATGCAATTGAAGACTAAAGTTGTACCCAATCAAGGCAATGATGACTTTTACTTGGCATTATTTAAATTTTAAAATGTTTTCATAAACTTTAGCGTGAGCTGTGCTTTTGGTGAGATTAAGTAAATTTTTGGACCAAGGAACTGAACAGTATTCCTGCTTTTAAAAAAATTCTTCTAGAAGTTTCTACTTGTTCAGAGACAAAAGCTGTGGATTCTATCCTGCCTTCCTATTTTCTTTAAAGGCTGAGGTTTGAAAAGATACATCTTTTAGATCGTAATTTTGGGTTTCTATATTTACTTAAAAATGCAAAAAAAAAAAAAAAGTCTTTTATTTCCACTGGACCTCCTGACAAGGGGGAAATGTTATCTGAAAGAGTCCTTCTATAAGCATTTGGCTGAGCATCCACGAATAAATGCCTTTTGCTCACAACTGCAGGATGAAAAAGCAGATGGACGCTCCACAGACTGTATTTCAAAGACTTTCAACAATTATGAAGAACAATTATGCTAAAACTTTCCCAATTTTTATTTAGAGTTTGTCATTGGAATGCCTTACTACTCTTTTCATCTTTCTGACAAAAATTCCAAGACCCAAGTGGTAGTTTTGATTTTCCTTTTTTTTTTTTAAAGATTTATTTATTTATTCATACAGAACTGGGGTACAGGCCAGAGATGCGGAGAGTGAGAGAATTCACCAGGGACAGAGTGGGGAGCAGAACAGGCAGATCAATGGAGTACACTGCTGAGGGGAGCAGTGGGCGAGTCAGGAGAGGTCTGCCACACCATGTGGTCACTTCCCGGGCAGGCGGAGATCAAACTCATGGAAGTGGCTTAAGCTTCTTAGTGCAGGGAGGGCTCCCATTGGGTTTTTAATGGAAATTTTGAAGAACTCTATGAAGTTATGGAAAATTTGTGCCCAAATTGGCTGAATGCTGGTATTGTTATTCTGAGAATGGGAAGAGAATGAGAAATAGGAGGGAAGATAGATGGGGGACAAGCAAGACAGCTCTCTCTGGTTATCTTTTATAAGAACACGGATCCTATCAATATCAGGGTGTAGCCTTATGATCTCACTTAATTACTTCATGAGGGTCCTATCTCTAAATAAATCATATTGAGGACTATGACTTTATATGTTTGGAGAGGTGGGGGAAGAACATAACCATTCAGTCCATGACACAGGCACATGTTTATACAATGTGGAAACAACGGCCAGTGGGTCTTAAGCCAAGTACCCTAGATGTTGATCTTATTTCAATTGCTGCTACAAGCTAAAAATAAATAAGACCTAAGAAATGGCAACTTCTAAAATTTGGAAACTTAAAAAGTCCTCATAATTAGGGGTGGGATGGGGAATGGGATCAAAAATGGTGAGGTGATAGAAGTACACCACACTATGATGATGGGCACACTGGTGACATGGTGATGGGAAGCCCACAGGGATTACAACTGAGATGGAAATAGATGTAAAAATAAACTATCATATTAAAAAAAAAAGTCCTCGTAATTAAGTCATGCTTAAAATCATTATAGCATCTTAATTATTTTGTGAAACAGTTCTTGTTCTCCCAAGGTAATGACTTGCATTTAATTATAGTAAAATATTTTTCATTCATAGGACAATGATTTGGAACTTGGAAAATTCTGACAAAAATGTTTTACCTTTCCAATCCTTTCTTGTGTAAAGAAATCAGGAGTCAGTAAATTTTTTGTAGAACATAGGAACTTCAGACTAAATGCCACAAATTACACTGTTTTCAATATACTTCAAGCACCTCTGGACTGTTTTATAAAAATACCATAACTCTTCAAAAAAAAGTACACTGGATATACAAATGAAATAAATGCTAGACCATGAGAATACTAAGATGTGATCCATGATCTTAAACTTAACCAAGAGATAGAATATGCATGTATAAATAAGTGATTTAAATGTGACAATTGGAGTTTTTTTTTTTTAAGATTTATCTTTTAGTTATGCATACAAGAACTGGAGTGTAGGTTAGAGGTGTAGGGTGGGGGTGACTCACCAGTGAGAGTGGGGAGCAGAACAGACAGATCTACTGAAATACACTGCTGAGGGGAGCAGTGGGCAAGGCAGGTCTGCTGCGCCATGTTGCTTAGTTCCCTGGCCAGGTGTCAAACTCATGCCACAGAGGCTGTCAATAGCGTCACAGCACTGAGACTTTAATCTCTGTGCCACCAGGGAGTTCCCTACAATTGAAGTTTTACTGTTGCTGAAACAGTCAGGAAAGAATTCGCAGAGGCTGAATTTAAGTTAGAATATTATAGAAGTACATAACCTAAAAGGGGAAGGTGATTCCAATTATTCTTATCTATTTCACAAACTAGATGTCTAAACCATGATGAGCAACATATTATTGGTCCAATATTGTTAAATGTGAGAGTGTTAATATAGTCTATAGTTCAATTTCAGAGTAAAATAATTTAGTTGTTTCAATAAAAAAGATTTTCTTCATCTCAATAACTCAAATTCAAGCACTTTTGTCATGTATATGATTTATTACTGAAAATACAAATATTAAAGAAAAACATTTAAATAAATTAAAAATCATTCCATACTCCCCTATACCAATACAATGAATTTCAGTTTTGCATATTACCTTCTACATGCATAAAGATTTTACAAAGCCACAATCATAGTGTACACACTATTTTGTGTTGTTTTTATTCTACTTACCAATTAACAGATAGATCCATGTTTCTATACAATCTTCCAAATAATTATTTTAATGGCAATACAAACATCACTATTTTTACCACTCACTTTCTTTGACCCAGAGATTATTCCCAAGTTTTTGCTATTATAAATAATGCAGACATAAACATCCTCATGCATTTGCCTTTAATTTTTTTTTGTTTTGCTTTTGTTATTCTTTAGATTACAAAGCTAACAGAACTTATGGGGCAAAGATATGGTCATTTTTATGGCTCCATGTAGTACCATATTGCATTCTCAAAGGGTTGTGTCTATGTAAGATGTCACTGAAATGAATAAAGTTTCTAAAATTAAAAAAGAAATCAGAAAACCATGGTAGTTTTTAAACTTTAGTATTTGAGATTAAAAATAAATGTTATCTCTTTAAAAAAATGAAGGATGTAAATAAATGGTCTTGTAGATTACTAAAGGTTTACGTAAGTTATTTAATGCTTCCCAACTTTTCTCAAGTAATGGCAAACATGTAAAGAAACATTAGGCATACTGGAGAAAACGGACAAAGGTGTTTCTGCCTCAGAAGGTCCAGCTACCTACACCACCTGTGGCTGTCCCAAGGGTTATGGGAACTCATATGTAGGCAGATTTAGACCCCATGTGCCAGTGTGTATGCACTGAGAAGCTCAAAACAAGGAGAGGTCAATGATCTCAAAGTCACAAAATCTATTTAGTGGCTAAGCTAAGAAATGGATGCAAATTTCTTTTCATCATAGTGTTTTCTATGATATTACAACTGTTCTACATGCTTTTTGGCTCTAAAATTCATCTTTATGTGCAGACATGTACCTATAGCTAAGAATAAAGAGCATTTTCTAACATGCTTAAAGACATCTAAACTATCAATTTACATCAAAGCACAAAATTAAACAGCTCTTAGCATCAGCAAATGTTTGACCATTTTCTCTGCAAATTTTCCGACTTGCTATTCTTTTAAATTTAGTTTGTAAACTCTGAACAGTAATAATCTTTTGCACAGTATCTTGTCTATCTCTCTGGTAGTCAGTAAATTAAAAAAATAACAATCAATTATATACAATACAAAGGGAAAAAAAGACTTATTTTTAAGGTTACATTCTAAATAAGTCTAAAAGTGAAAACATTTTAAGGTTGACTTTGTAGAGGTAGAGAAGATTCCCTCCTTAAATTTCAAATACCTGCTAGCTAAGCAGAAACTTAAGTACCCTATCACACTGCAGGGTCAAAAGAGAAACTTCATTCCAGAGAATGGCACTGACCTACACCCAGTGTTGATGCTACCAGGAGAAAAAATTCATTACACAGGTATTTTACCTTTTACAAAGTGTCCAACATCTGACGTTATCTTTGAAAAGCAGAGACTATAGGTGTTCACCCCACTGATTCAGATGTAAAAATATGTAAGATTTTTCTTAACAATTAATCATTGAAATTGGGATTAAAATGTGGGTAGAATTTACCTATTACCTGCCAGGCACAGTAACAAGTAAGGGACTCCAAACTCCAAATCCCACATTCCTATTTACTACATCATCCAAACAGTGATTACTCGGTCATTTCTACGGATTCAATCAGATGTTATATACACAAACACATCCATGGGACCGCATGGCACTTGGAAGATTACCCACTATTTCCCACTTATTCAGATCTGGATCATATTTCTCAATGCTCTGAAGATATGTTCCTTTTGAGTAGGAATATCCCCCAGTGACATAAATACATCCATTCATGATCACAGCACCACACTCCATCCTCCGTTCCATCATGGGAGCAATCTCTCTCCATTCATTTTGTTCAGGGTCGTAGCATTCCGTGATTGTAGTTTGTCCACCAACAAGATAGAGCTTGTTTTCAAAAGGAACGGAACATAATCCATATTCTATCAGGAAAAAAGGAACAAAATTTATTAGGATAAAAAAATAAAAGGGATACCATAGTGAGGTGATGTAAAAATCCTTTACAATTTAGCATACAAAATAGTGGTGACAATTCGAATCCAGTACACACTACTACAACACTGACAATCTCTTCCCTGTGGCCCAATTTGGATGACTTGTTCTTGTCATTCTCAGGTCACCCTTAAGCTGACCTCACAGATGAGGCACACTGCTGACAGCAACAGCGTACTGTGCTGTATTTGGATAAAAGGAAAAAATATTAAGAATCACTTAATGGGGGGAAGGGGAAGAGGGAGAGTAAGAACAAAGAAGGAAAGAAGCACAATGGTCTATGGTTGTAGGATATGGGTGCATTGGTGGTCGGTGCACTACCATGCTTATACCTAATGGGAGTGTCCCATATCACCTCAGTTAAAAATAAGTACATAGTGAGATGAAAAAAAAAAATGTGAAAAATGATGTAAAAATAAACTTTTTAATAAAAAAAAAAAAATAAGTACATAGACAGAAAAAAAGGATATGAACCATTTTTATTTTAAACATTTCTACTACTATAGGAAGATGGAGATACTCCTCTTACTGTAAGATTTATAAATCAAAGATATTTTGATAAACTTTGAATAATTAAAAAAAAAGTCTAGTAGGCTCACTGTTGAATCACTTCCACTGGCTGATAAGATTTTTGAATGATAGTTACTTTTCACAATTTGCAGAATGGATTTATATAATTGTATTAATGGTATTTTACTAGTACTTGAAACAGCTAGCTCCAATAAAAATTCTACATGTATATAACTGGAAAGTAACGGGGTTGTAGAAATGGGAGAATTCCTATTTTGTCGGATGTCAAAACTTAAGAACAACATTGACAGAGAATGGATAAAGACACACAATGGGCCTTCCTGGTGGTACAGGGGTTAAAGTTTCAACACTATCAAGCTATCACCAGCCAATGCAGCATGAGTACAATACCTGGCCAAGGAGGTAACCCACATGGCACAGCAGACCTCTCCTGTCTTGCCAGCTGCTCTCCTCAGCAGTGTATTTCAATCTGCCTGTTTTGCTCCCCACTCTGTCTCTGGTGAATCCTCTCATCCCGCACCTCAGGCCTATACCCCAGTTCTTGTATGCATAAATAAAAATAAGTCTTTAAAAAAAAAAAAAAAAAGGACACACACAATGGAATACTACTCACAGCCGCAAAAAAAGTCAAAGTCATGTCATCTGTGACAAGGAAGAGTGTTAAAGGCATTCTATTAAGCAAAATACATACTGTATTATTTCACTCATATGTGTAATATAAAGGAATTTTTAAAAAATGAGCAAACAAAATAAAACAAAAGCAACCTCAAATACAGAGAACAGAGTTACCAGAGGGGAAGGGGCTGGGGGGGGGGGGGGGCATGTAAAATAGGTAAAGGGGGTTTTCTCCTGGAAACTAGACTTTTGGTGATGATGGTAATGTAGTTTATACATATATCAAATTATAACCCCATTCACCTAAAATTTACATGGTATAAGCCAATGCTACCTCAATAAAAATTTATTTACAAAAGGTATAAGGATAATGCAGTAGGAAAAAAATAGGCATTTCTTCACTGAAAGCTATGTATGCATAAGGCTGACTCAAAGCTTGCATTTTCCAGTCTTTAGGAGGTGCTACTAAAGTTAAGAAGAAGTACACCTCTCTATAATTCAGCAAGTGTAGATCCAAATGTCCTCAAGGGCTAAGAGATAACAGACTAGCTTAGTAAAGCAGGCAGAGTAAGAAAACAACAGCACAGCCCCCCAAGTCTGTGATGTGATATATAAAGGGGAGAGTGTGTGTTGAGAGGGAACATACAGTCTCATCATCTGAAGTAACAGCCACTATTCAGCCCTAGTGTTGGCTGCCAGGAAAGAATATGTCAGTACCTCTAACATGTCAGTACCTCCAGTTTTCCTAAAAGTCAGAAATCAGGGTTTTCATCTGATATCCCCTAAATTTAAAACATTGACAAAAGCCAGTTAAAAAATTATTTCAAACAATGTGAGAGACAAATAGGATATAGAGTGCTAATTTGATAACTTTGTTCCTTACAGTATATCAGGAAAAAGGCCAATGTAAATCAAAACTTTACAAATGTAATTATATGTTCCCACTAATTTATATTATCATTTAATAATAAGTTCTAATTGAGTTTTCAATTTTTCATGCTTTTTATACTTTGTCTTAAATCTCACTGCCTTTTAGATCTTCTTGCTATATCTAACTCAAAATATGTTATAGAACATTTATTTTTAAAGGACTTCCTTTATGAAATATGTTTTTATAATGTAAATAACTGTTCTCTAATTTATTAATCTGAGTTTTCATATGTCAGGTTTTCATTGTTAAGGTATGGCAAGATAAAATTTAATTCATAATGTTAACACGAGGAGCAAAGGATAACAGTGTAAATGTTAAGAATATGAGGTCCTAGCCAGATGGCCTGGATTGAACTTCATCCCTAACAAGTACTAGCTAGCTGACCAGGGACAATTTATTTACTCTGTACCCCAGTGAATATAAAAGATGATAATAGTAGTATTTAGCTCATAGAATTGCTGTGAGGCTTATACGTTACCATGTACAATTATTGGAACTGTTAGTGCCTGGCACATACTTACTGAATAAATGTTAACTATTACTCAATATGAACTGTTATTACTATTTTCACTATAACAGAAAGTAGAATGGAGTTTGTCATAAGACATCGATCTGCCTACTAGGAGACAGAAGGTTATCCATTCCGAGATGTCTCAGAGCCAGAACAGGATGAAGCTACAATCTCTTCTCACGCAAAGTCAACGGCATACTGAGATGCAGCACCAGATTCAGGTCTCACCACTTGTACTATGAGATGAGATACATGACATATGGTGACTAGCAGTACTGGTCAAAAGGCAAACCTGTCCTTATGGAGAGGCAGATTGCTTAGAGGTTACAACACAGGTTATGCAATCAGTCTGCCTAAATTTGAATTCTAGTCTACCTCTTCCAAACTGTATGACCTTCATGTATTTCCAAACATGTGAAACAGAGCTAAATAACACCTGTTCACAGGCTTGTAGTTAGGTAATATTATATGCAAAGTGCTTAGTTAATGCCTATCCTATGGAAAGTAGTCAAGAAGATTGGCTATTACTATACTACTACTCTCAGATGGTTCGAGTTTGTGAACTTCACTTATATTCCCCATGAGCTAAGCAGAAGTCTGATGCTCTATGGAAAATGTTTCAAAGTAGTATGGTGATATAAATCTTTCCTAATAAAAAAAATTGGAAACATATGGTATAACCATAATAGGATATAGCTTATGTTTCCCCTGAGCTCTTCACAAAGAGACAAGTGAAAGAACAAAAGATACCACAGAAAGCAGGCCAATCCTTGTGGGCAGACAACATGCCCTTCTATGATTAGTAAGAAAAGGCCAACATAGAACTCTACACATCTAGGAATGCTTGAAATTTACTGAGACTCAGAAAGAAAAAGCTTCTAAAAAAAGAAACCATTCCCTAAACTGGACCAACAGGTACTTTTTAAAATTACCTGATAGAATAATGCTTTCTGTATATAAAAATTGTTTTATATCTGATGCATGTAGAAAATTAAAGAAAGCACATAACAAGGACATAGGAAAAACAAAAAGAATCTAAATAAAAGAAACTGCCACTTTTAACCTCTCAGGCATAAAATGTATTTCATGTACAGACATCAGAAGAAGTATTTACAGACATGATAGAATGAGAATAATCTATGATTTCTGTTAAATACATAAATATTTTGAATAGTTTACTTATACCATGTATATGCTACTATAATTTAATATATTTTATGTCTAGCTCATTTTTAGCCATCTCTCATGCTGACAAACTATACTGACAAAGCAGGATGCTGAGAACACATCCCCATGACATATTTTGTTACCTGGATGTGGGCTGGAGGTGATGAGGCTCCACTCGTTGATATCCGAATTGTAGCTCTGGACTTTGTCATAGGTACAGCTTCCTCGGTAGCCACAGTGACCGCCAATAACATAGATAACTTCATGTAAAACACAGGCTGTAGCATTTCCCACACCTGTGTGTTAATTAAAATCACACCTTTAGATTGATCTTTGATTCTGTTTTGCAATGAGTAATGAGCTAAGTTTATAGCTATTTTTGTTATTACTGATAACAGATACAAGGCATTATGCTATGAATTATTATGAAATATATATAAGAAAGAAAAAGGCAACTTGCACTATTTTAAATGGTGGTTAGACACTGAAAAAATAATTAGAACACAATACATACTGGAAGCACAATGAAAGAACAAATGAAGTACCATAAATATTTAGAGCAAGGAGACACTGTCTTTTAGTAGGAAAATCGTGGCAAAAGGTGGCAGAATTTGACTTGGGCCTTAGTAGGTAGGATTTTGGCAGTTAGAGGTGGGAAGAAGCCCTACTAAGAAGAAAGAAAGGCAAGCGCAAAGGCAAAGTCAAGTCCCCACACTGACTCCAGCACACCTGGGCTTGCTGGATGGGAATTATAGCTGGCATGGTAAATAAAGCCACATGGCAAAGAAACCTGATGTCCAACTAAGAAAACAGCACTTAACTTGGCAGGTTTTTGAGATTTTTTTCTTTTTTTTAACGATTTATTTATTTATTCATATAGAACTGGGGTACAGACCAGAGATGCAGAGGGTGAGAGGATTCACCAAAGACAGAACAGGCAGATCAATGAAGTACACTGCTGAGGGGTCAGGAGAGGTCTGCCTCGCCATGTGGATCTCCTCCAGGGCAGGCAGGAATCGAACTTATGCTGAAGTGGCTTAAGCTTCTTAGTGTAGGGCTTTAGCCCACTGCGCCACCAGGGAGGGCCCAGTTTTTGAGATTTTTAAACAGAGGAAGGAAGGACTACAAAGGTAGAATTGGTCCAGGTGGCAAGAATTAAAGGCCTGACTGATTTAGAAAAGGCCAACATACAGACAGAAGGAAAGGACAGACACAAGGTAAAATTGATAGGCCTTAATGACAGACTGAATCAGAGACAAAGAGTGATGCTAAGGTCCTGAAAATGGGAAATACGATTACCACAAAAACATTACGGAAGAGGAAGAAATGGGTTGAGCAGAGGGAGGAGAGAAAAGAGGGGAGAAGGAGAGAAAGATGGTGAGGCTCATTTTATTTGAAATTGTAGGTTTTTAGGGCCCTCCCTGGTTGTGCAACAGGTTAAAGCAAATCACTGTGATGCCAGCCCCAACCACTTCGGCACAAGTTCAATCCCTTGCCAGGGAGGAGACCCCCATGGCTCAGCAGACCTTGCCTGTTTCACCTGCTGCTCCCCTTGGCAGTGAACTTTGTCGATCTGCCTGTTCTGCTCCCCACTCTGTCTCTGGTGAATGCTCTCACTGCCCCGGCACCTCTGGCCTATGCCTCAATTCTGTATGCATAAATAATTTTTAAAAA